ATTCAGTGAGTATTATTATTTTTAAATATCATATTAGTTAGCTTTTTCTATAAAGAAATATGATGAAATTTTTTGACCATCAAGATCTATGAGTGCCATGATTAGTATAGTATTTGCTAACTGATTAATTCGTGAAAAAGATAATTTCTAGGAAAAGATATAGAATTATACTTAATATATTTTGTATTTTTTTTTATAGATGGGATCTAAAGATGAAGTTCAATTACACAAAAAATGTAAGAAATTTTTTGTTTACTGATTATTGAAATGTACATATTATTCATCTGTGATGATTTAATCACCAATATTTATGAATGCCATGATTTTGAATTTGCTACTTCTGAGAATAGTTCGTTTGACTTAATTATGATTTTTATATAAAAGAAATAGAAGAAATATATGTATCTTTTTTGTGTGCAGGTTAACGATCGTGCAAGGACAATGGATATTTTTAGCTTGATATTGAAACATTAAAAAATACATAGTATGACAATTCAATATATGTTTATCGTACATGTACTAAATAAATATAAATGATAATTATAACTTTTCTTTTCCTTTTTCCTCTTCTAGATTTGTATGTGATACCAGCTTTGTCAATAGAATGAATTCGAGATAAGATGATTCTTAGCCTTTTATGGAATTGCACAATATGGTGAATGGGATTATAATATCTCTATTTGGTAGTTTATTTTTATTTCTCGTTCTTATTGCAAAATTTGTGTCTTTTATTACTGAATCTTTTTGGATTTCTAGAAAAGAAATGGATTAATCGCGTAAAAAACGTATTCAAATTTTTTTCAAGAGATTAAGAATGAACAACATCAACGAACGAAGTAATATTAAATTTCGAAATAAAGTTTAAAATGAACTTTTGACCTGTGCAGACTTTTAGAGAGTTAGAGTACGTTCAATTTTTTTGGATTGAATACAATTGCAGTTCATTCAACTGCACAAATTCAATTTAATACTAGTACTAATACTAGTAGTAATTATTAATTGAAGGCTTTTTTCATGCAGCCCAATTGATGAAATGATGTTACAAAATGGAATTAATAAACTTCAATGGCACAATTTGATACTATGCTCATTCTATGTCAGGTATTTATACTTGTACATATATACAATGGATAATTCTAAATATGTATGCATAGTAAATTTTTAAAATCCTGATTTGATTAGAAATTCATATTAATTTAAGGTGATCAGTACATTAAGATATT